TTGCAGCTGTTCCTTAGTTTTGTTTGTAGATACTCATTCTTTGCAGGGAAAGTTGCACTTTTTAAAATAGAGATTTTTTTTTAATCCCTGTTTTATAAATGGAGTTTGATTTAATAGTAATACCTAAGATTAGGCAGTTCTGTTTCTAGTAGAGAAGACCAGTAGATATTTACCTGAAACAGCAATGCCAAAATAGTGCATGCCCAGAATTGTCTGGTTTTCCTTTTTTTTTTTTTTTTTTTAAAGCAAGGACCATGCCTTAGATATGTGCAGTAAGACTAGCACATGTGGCAGAGTCCCTTTGGGGGCCCTTATTCCGCCTTTCTCCCAAAGCTGCATGGTTATCTTTAGTAGAATTTAAGTGGAAACTTCAGTTCTTGGTTTGTTTGTGAAACATCTATTAATGTCTTGTGTTGTTGTGATTTAATAGATCATTCAACACCAGCCAGCCAATCTCCTCATTCCTCTAACCCAAGCAGCCTGCCAAGCTCCCCTCCAACACACAACCATAATTCTGTTCCATTCTCCAACTTTGGACCCATTGGAACTCCAGATAACAGGGATAGGAGAACTGCAGATCGGTGGAAAACTGATAAGCCAGGTGAGATCCAGATTTCATTGCCTAGTGAAAGTGAAATCACTTACTCTGTCCTTCTCTGGTGTTTGGTGTTTGACAATGACAGAACATCTTGAATTCTTCATATCTCTTTGCATCCTTAGCCATGGGTGGGTTTGGCATTGACTATCTCTCAGCGACATCATCCTCTGAGAGCAGTTGGCATCCAGCCAGCACTCCAAGTGGCACCTGGACAGGCCACGGCCCCTCCATGGAGGATTCCTCTGCTGTCCTCATGGAAAGCCTAAAGGTGAGTGGGTTTTAGTGGGTTTTAGGAACAAGAACCACGAGAGATGTGGTTCTGCTTTTGTTCCTATAAATAGCCAGGCTTATTCCTTAGGCCCTTAGAGTTGATCGATTCATAGCACATATCTAGCAAAGTCCTAGAAACATGGTCTACCTTATAAGATTCTTGAATAGGAATTTTGTTTTTTAATTTGTGAACTCACTAGTGATAAATCAGTTATCTTCAAGGGGGACAGAAACAAAGTTTTTAGTTGCATTGTAAGGTTAAGACAATTCTGATTCATTTTGGAATGTTTGATTTAAGCCTTTTGTGAACAAATAAAAGAAGGGTATCTAATTTTAGAGATGTTTTGTTTGCCTAAAATCTTTATAGTAAATACTCTGTGGTCCCACGTGGCCCTGAGTTTTAGTAAATATTTCACCTTTTCTGGTTTAAAATAATCCTAGTGGGAACTAACTGGTCTTGAAGACAGTCTTACAACGTTGTCTAATAGCTGGGTTTTTTAGGGGGCAGGGATCTTGGGACATATATGCCTTTATATTTGGCGAGGATTGAGAAGCAAATCCCTTTCAGACATCCAGGCATTTGACCCCTGCTGACAAGCTCTGGGCTGTTTTTCAGTCTATCTGGTCCAGTTCCATGATGCACCCTGGACCTTCCGCTCTGGAGCAGCTGTTAATGCAGCAGAAGCAGAAACAGCAGCGGGGACAAAGCACCATGAACCCTCCACATTGAGGCCAAAGTGGCAACCCTGGGAATGAAGGCTCCATAAACCATGGCATGTTGGGTTTGCAGGACTGGCCCATACAGTCCCCTGCAGGTGGCAGCCCTCTTTTCTGTTTCTTGCTGTCGAGAGGGTGTAAGCGTTCCACCGGCGCGCTGAGTGTGCACGAAATGTCCGCAGTGCAACAAAAAGAACAAAACCATCAGGAACGCTCAGTCCCCCTGGGGCCTTCCGGAGGGAGAGAGGAACTGCTGTTTGTCTCACTCAGTTACCTGATATCACCGCCTCTCACCTTCTCCATCGTGCATGTCCCCAGCCACAAGGGAAGTGAAAGCTGAGAAGGGGAGGCAGATGGGAGAAGCCAACGGGAACTTCTCAGTCCTTTTTTCCTCTTTGGGGAATAAAATAGGAATCCATTAATGATTGCTTTGCTGACTGAGAATGTAGTTGAAATTATTCCTGAACATCTTTTATTATTGTTATTACTCTCAGTAGTAAAATATCACACTGAATTCTTCCACACACAGATGTGCTTCTTCTAGTCAGTGTGCAGCAAGGAAAGCCCCGTTCACTGCTCCTGCGAGAGGTTGGTGGTGACAGGATGGGGAAGCTGACCTCTTCAGCCAGTGGACGTGTTCCATGAGGGAGAGTCCAAGGCCTCAACTTTCACTCAGAAGGTTCTGGCAGGCCCTCCTCTGGCCTGGAGACTCCAGCAGGAAATGCCCTTCACTCTGTAGGTGCTCGAGCCCCAATCGAGGATGCAGTGTGGGTGGTGGTGCTGGGCTGGACTGGCAGATGACTGCTGTAGGATTTTAAATTAATGTTTTTGATTCCTGTACATTTTCCAGTAGCATAGCAAGCAGTCTCACAGAAGGCAGGCTGGTCCGTTCGTGGCCTGACACGTTTTAATAGGTAGAAGCTTTCAGTGTGGTTATTTTTTGTTGGATTGGTTTTTGTGACCCCCATCCTGCTTACCACCCACCTCCTCTTATCCCTACCTCCATCCCTTTCCCACCCTATGCTGTCTGCCAGTAATTGTTTCTATTTCTAATGTGTACAACATCTCGCCAAGAAGCAACAGCATGGGGTCCAGCAGTTGGGGCCCGAAAGACAGTCTGACGAGGAAGGAAGCAGCGGCATCTGCATAGCGCACGACGGGCCAGGCCCCTGCCCAGCTGCGCCTCCCGACCTCCACTTTCAGAGTGAAATTCAAGGCAACACGGACACGTGTGCATCATGCACAGAAGAAAACAACGAAGTCCATTCTGGAAAAGGCGAAAGAAAGGAAAATAAACTTTTATTTGGTATTTATTAGAAGGAAAGAGGACTGAAAATTTTCTTGTGTAGAAACAGAAGGACAGCATTTCTGTTAGTTCCTGGAAAAGTAATATTTTAAGGGGAAATTATGGAAACAGTCTAAATGTCCAATTGCTGTGCTAGTGGTAAGGTCTGTTTCTGGGAGGTCTCTCTCGTGTGTGTGTGTGTGTGTGTGTACATGTACGCACGCGTGCCCAGCTGCTCTCCCTGGGGGAGGGGGAGTGTGTGTGAATGTGTGGAGTCAGTGTGGGACTTACAAACTGGAAGACAGCTGCAGAGCAAAGCACATCCAGGAGCCCCGGTTGTCACTCGAGTCTGGGCAACCCCAGCAATGGAAGGGGTGAGATTAATGCTCATTGCTCTTCAGAGACAGTGGTTGGAGCCCCGTATGCTTACATTATTGCTCTTTAAGTTTGACATGGTGTTTGGGGTTTTTTGTTTTTGTTTTGTTTTGTTTTGTTGTTGTTGTTTTGAAAGGTCTGAAAGGGTGAAGCCCCCCGACCCAATGGCAATATGAAACCCTTTGTGCTTCTCTCCAGCCCCTTCCCTGTGTCCGCCTCTCTCCCATCCCCACCCTTCCAAGCCTTCTTCCCCACTACCTTGACCCACTTTGTGTGTTTGAGCTCTGCATTCAGGCAGCTGCAACATTCCAGTGTTTGAGCTGTCCCTGATTCTTGCACCCTAGACGAGCTAGCCAGGTTCACTGTCTCACTCCCTGTACTGCCCACATCCCATCTACAGCCCTGTTTCTGCATGAGAATTTGGTGTTTGGAATGTTTTCTGACTCTTGGGGCGGGGTTCCTCGCCTTATCATCCTCAATGTGGAGTAATGAGGAGGGAGAGGAAATCTTCATCAGAAACTGGTTTTGTGTAGTAAACTTTCTCTTGTGTTTTTTTGTTTTGTTTTGTTTTTTGTTTTGTTTTGTTCTGTTTCGGTCTGTCTGTGCAAGACCTGCAGCTGCTGAAATCAGCTTTGCCTTTAATTAAACCATGTTCTCTCCAACCAGATCTGTGTGTACGTTGTTTCTTTTCTAACCTAAAAGAATATCCTACTTAGAAAAACAAATATTTAAACTACTTAGAAGTCATCTAGGGGAAATCAGAGATGGTCAGAAATTGAATATGCTTCAGGGTTATTTATGCTTTCGGTAGCATTCCAAACCAGTGTGCATTATTATGGAAAGGGATGGGTGAAAGAAACTGTCAAAATTATTTTATCTAATGAATAAAGGTGGGCTTATGCAAAGAAGTCAACAGCCCTCCATTTTTATCCCTATTTTTACTGTCAGTGGGACAGTGCAGAGATGGTTTCTCTTTCTGGTCTATAAAAATCACGAAGTCTGATCAGCCCCAATGGTAATTAGTGTTCTTAGCTTTGAGGTTGCGTTTCTTTGAGTTGTGTCCAAAATTTCCAGTGGTAGCCTGCCGGGCCTGCAGCGGTGGGTTGGAGGTCAGTGCCACGGCATGCCGGTTTGTGTGTTCACTCTGGTCAGCAAGCCTCTCACTTCTGTGTTGATTCCATCTACACATCATTTCCTAACTGCTTTTCACAAGCACCTGCACACTTGAGTGGTTACAAAACCATACGTACTGTGCAAGGAGGAGAGAGGGAGGGAAATGAAGGTGAGTTTCTAAGGTCTAGTATTTGTTAACCCCAAGTTAACCCTAAAAAAATCAAGCCATTTGGTTAAATGATAACCAAAATAAAACCATAGCATTCTCATGTATATTAGCATAGTCCATATTATAAAATATGTTAACTAACAGGATAGTCCTGACTAAGTGGCTTCCTGAATGTGGCTTCTTTACATCACATACTCAGTATTGAACTCTTTTTTTTTTTTTTTAATTTATTTATTTATTTATTCATGAGAGACAGAGAGGCAGAGGGAGAAGCAGGCTCCCATGGGAGCCCGATGCGGGGCTCGATCCCAGGACCCTGAGATCATGACCTGAGCCGAAGGCAGACGCTTAACCATCTGAGCCACCCAGGCGCCCCAATATTGAACTCTTAACAAATGTCCCTCCCTGAGAAGGCATGAACGGGTGAGATTCTAGTATTTTAATTCTCTATGGAATTGAAAACTAAGTCTAGGTTCTGTTTAAGCAATGAGACTTTTAATAGAGGAAAGTTATTTTTATGTGTGTCTGCCATCTGAATTACCTGTAAATTTACTTCAGGCTCGAGGAGTCTGTGACTGTCGTGGTACAGGAATAGGGGTATTTATAGTTCAGCCTTGGGCCTGTACTCTCGGTGTCTTGTTTTTGTAAGTTTTTTATTGAGGTATCACATATAGAAGTGCACCAATAGTAAGTGTACAGCTCAGTGAACTTTTTACAAAGTGAACACATTTGGGTAGGCACCACTCCGAGCAAGAAACATTATCAGCACCCTAGAAGACCCCCTCATGCCCTTCCAGATACTTCCACCCACTCACCCCACCCCACCCGCCAGGGTCATCATCATGATAAGTTCTCATATCATTGTGTAATGGGTTAAATTTTCAGTGGGAAAAGTAGACTAGTTAACACTTCCGAATAGTGATGTCTCCCTACAGTGTACTTCAGGGGCATGCTTAAACCTCACAAATGATTATAGTTACTTTTCTCCAACTTTGTAGGTTATGGAACATCCTAGACTCTTCTAGGAGAGCTTTCCAAATCTGTAGTTGCATGTTCTTCAACAAACGCTTTGGGGAAAATGCCAATCTTCCCTTTGCACTCTCCTTCCAGCCAGTCTTCATTCACTGATAAAAGGAAACGTATACATCGACTTTTAAAACCAGTATAGGAGAATTATCTCATCTGGATATGCCACACAGGTCTTTGGCAGTCCTTCACCCCCAATTGTGCTAACAGGGAAAAGTCCATATCGGAAAGTGATTTGAGGGAAAAGTGAACATACGACTTCTACCATCTTACTGGTTTCTGTCTTATATATGATAACGGAGGAGTAAAATACAGAAAATCAATTAGATTTTTCAAAAAACTGCCAGAACAAAAAAAAAAAAGATGAAAGAAATTGAACAATAAATCTTGAGATAGGATTTTTTTTATAACAGTTTTACCTGATCACTGTTAGTAATCTTTATTCTGACTACATGCCATTAATTAAATACCTTAATCTTTGGGGCACATGGGTGGCTCAGTCGGTTAAGCATCCGACTCTTGATTGCGGCTCAGGTCATAATCTCAGGGTTGTTAGATCGAGCCCTGCATTGGGCTCCATGCTGAATGTGGAGCCTGTTTAAGATTCTCTCTCTCCGGGACACCTGGGTGGCTCAGATGGTTAAGTGTTTGCCTTTGGCTTAGGTCATGATCCCAGCACCCTGGGATCAAGTCACACATCAGGCTCCCTGCTCAGCGGGGAGCCTGCTTCTCCCTCTGCTTGTCAGTCCCCCTGCTTGTGCTCTCTGACGAATAAATAAATACAATCTTTAAAAAAAAAAAAAGATTCTCTCCTCTCCCTCTGCACCTACTCCTGTTCACTCTCAAAAAAATTTAAAAAATAGTTGATCTTTGAACAACACAAGTTTGAACTGTGAGTGTCCACTTACAGATTCTTTGATACAGCACAGTGCTGTAAAAGTATTTTCCTTATGATTTTTTTTAAGATTGATTTATTTTAGAGAGAGCATGAGCCGGGGTAGGGGGGTGGGGGAGGGAGAGAAATCTAGGAGACTCCCCGCAGAGCCTGGAGCCCGAGACAGGGCTAGATCCCAGGACCCTGAGATAATGATCTGAGTTGAAATCAAGAGTCAGAAGGAATATGCCACCTTTTTTCTCTCCATATCTATCCAGAAGGTTTTTCTATGTGTGTTCTAGTTTTTATCTCATACCACCCACCCCCAAACAAACACCGGACAGTGTAGCTGGTTGGTTGATACTGACAAAAAGTGGTGCTGGGGGGCGCCTGGGTGGCTCAGTTGGTTAAGCGACTGCCTTCGGCTCAGGTCATGATCCTGGAGTCCCGGGATCGAGTCCCACATCGGGCTCCCTGCTCAGCAAGGAGTCTGCTTCTCCCTCTGACCCTCCTTTCTCTCATGCTCTCTGTCTCTCATTCTCTCTCTCTCAAATAAATAAAATCTTTAAAAAAAAAAAAAAGTGGTGCTGGGAGTTACTAAGCCCTATTGTCCCCTGTCAGAAGACAGGCACTGCCAGGGTACCCTGCTTCTTTATTTCATTACTCATATTTTGAGTTAATTGCCAGACAGTTGTATACTCTCTACCCCCATTAACTTTAAAATCTCATTTCTTCATCTGTTGGACGGTAATGGAATTTGTTGTCACTACTCTGCATTGCTAATGCACATTTCTGCTGTTTGAACAAAGCTTTTTTTTTTTTTTTTTAAGATTTTATTTATTAGAGCATGAGCAGGGGGAGAGGGAGAAGCAGACTCCTCGCTGAGCAGGGAGCCCAATGCGGGGCTCAATCCCAGGACCCCAGGATCATGGCCTGAGTGGAAGGCAGACACTTAACCAACTGAGCCAACCAGGTGCCCCTGAACAAAGCTTTTGATGGGACTCTTGTTTTGAAGAAGAGAAATAAGATTATGTCAAACTGAGTTAGAATTGGTGCTTCTCTCTCAGAAGATCAGCATCACACTGGAAGCCAAAAGATCAGCATCACACTGGAAGCTGTTAGAAATGCAAATTTGAGGCCCCACCCCAGACCTGAATCAGAATCTCTGGTTGCTGGGCCTGCAAATTTTATTTAACTCTCAAACGGGTGCTTGGGCATACTGAAGTTTGAGAAGCACTAAATTAGAACTCTACTTAAAATACTGTTTCAATTTGTAGTGTGTTTGATTCCTAACAGGATCAGGAAAGTCACCAGAGACACAAAGCAATGTCGAGTAGCTTCTTTTAAGGCAAAATTTACCCATTTCTTCCCTCATCTTCAAAAAGTACATCAGTTCAGAGAACTGTGGTTTATAGGAAAGTATCCTATGGCTTGGTGCAAAGGCAAAATGATTCCAGCCACCTTCCAATTGGCTCCCTCTGGGAATGAGAATGCATGCCTTCCAAAACACAGCCATTTTTAATGATCAAAACGTCAGCTGAGTCTGTCATTTGTTGGTTCCCTGCCATTGGAGAAACAGATGGAAAGGCTGAGCCCTCTGTTCTGCTCCCTCCAGCTGAAAGCTAGGAAGGAGATTGAAACCACTGGCAAAGTTTGGCTTGTAGGTTATTAATGTTTCTTCCTCTCTTCCCTTGAACTTATTGCTGCTCACATGGAAATTAGTTTCTATGATCCAGGAGTAGTACTTACCCATTGATATAATCTGGATTATGTCCCCTTCCTGAAACTCCAGATCTTCCGGCTGGGTGGCCTCGTAATTGAAGAGTGCTACCACTTGGCCTCCTTCCTTAAGCTGAGGTTCTGTTGTCTGGTTATTAGCTTCAGATTTTTCACTTTCCTTGGGTTCATCTGGAAAACCTTGGTCACCCTGAAATAATAAAAGGCCTGTTAGTTTCCTCAACTTTTTGGCCAGTGAACATTGAGCATCACTAAAGGAATCCGTGAAATGTCAGTGTAGCACCTGGGATATAAACTCACAAAGGCCAAGTCTGTGATCAGTCCCTAGCATAAACCTAATGTGTACTTTAGGAATACAGGATGGTTGGATAAGTGAACCCAAAAGGTCTGCAGGACCATAGATAGTCTTAAAATCTTACAGAAACCTTAGAGTAATCCTGAAAAAGGTAGAATAGGTACTACTGTTACTTCTTTGCAGATGGAAAAACAGAGATGGAGTCACAAGTAAGCGACAGAACCCAAAGTCAAACCTGGGTTTCTAACTCTGAATCCAACACCCTCTCCCCAGCACCCACAATACTGGGGACCTCGTTAGAAATGTAAATTTCTGGCACCATCCCAAACCTACTAAATCATAAACTCACTGCATGTGGGGCCCAGCAATCTGCATTTTAACAAGCCCTCTAGGTGAGTCTCATCCCTGCTAAAGTTTGAAAAACCCTGCAGAGCGCCATACCGTCTTTCTAAGGCCATGAAAAAAGGCCTTGCTTTCTGATATATGTAACTACACATCTTAGTTACCATTGTGGTCATTTTTCATCCACAAATGTTGAAAAGAAGAAGGGTACAGTTTCTAGAGATGTGAATCATGGGATTTAACAAACCCGCGTTAGAAACCCCGCGAGGGTAAGAGCTGTTCTGAGTGTTCAAAGTTCTCACTTCCTAATGTCGCTTGTTCCAGCCCTGGCAGATCCCTTTTATTGAAAGGCAGTACAGTGAGGTGGAAATGGTTGTAAGGAGTCTAAAGGCCTGGGTTTGTATCCCAGCTCCACTGCTCACTGGCTGTGTGTCCCTGAGCAAGTGGGGTAACCTCTCTGAACTTCAGTTTCCTCACCTTATGAAATAGAGGCTAGAAGAATGAAATGATATGATGTAGAATAGTAATAGCTGACAATTATTTTTTTTAGATTTTATTTATTTGAGAGAGAGCATGCATGTGTGCATGTGAGCAGGGGGAGGGGCAGAGAGAGAGGGAGAGGCAGAGAATCCTCAGCAAGCTCCACGCTGAGCCAGCGCGGGGAGCCTCACGCAGGGCTCCATCCCATGACCCTGAGATTGCAACCCCAGCCAAAACCAAGAGTCGGACGCTTAATTAACTGTACCACGCAAGCGCCCCTAGCTGACAATTATTAAACTCTCAGAGTACTAAATATATACATACATAGATTTAAACTTGATTAATGGTAAGCGTTCCTGCATAGAGTAGATGCTTAATAAATGATGGTTCATTTTCCTGCTCTTCTACTAAGTGAATGAGAACATCCTCACTTGCTGTCTCCAAGAGTAAGGGGTAGTGATAAAGAATGCTTGGCAATGACCTCTGAAGCTGAACTGAGTCCCAAAAAGACTGTGTTGGGAATTTGGGGAGAGTTAGCCACGTACAGCCACTAATTAGACTGAAGCTCTCTTCAAAGAACAAAAATTAACAACAATTAAAAACAATGAACCTTTTAAGGGAAGTAATTCACATTTAGAGCAGAACTGCTAGGCAAAATCCTTTTAAGACAATACTGAAAGGATTAGTCCCAACATAGACCATCGAAAACCTTAGGATGACCTTTCAGACTTCCACATGACCCCTTGCACTGGTTACCTATTCTACCCCATCCCCCACCCAGGGTCCTGGGGCGCCAGTGAGTCCAGGGGCTGTACTTCCTGAACGCAATCTTCTGAACCCTTAGATACCACCAACCTGGGGCTTACCATGGGGCCTTCCTCCAGGCCCACCCTCCTTACATTCCTCTCCCACTAATTTTTTTTTCCCAGCAAACATGTATCTGATTTCATTGCGAATCTGCCAAAGAGACCCTTCCCTAACTGAGCAGAAGCCCCTGCCCAGCTGTGGGGTTGAGGGTTTAGAGGAGGGACTCTGCCCCCACAGGGCCCACGGCCCCAGGCCAAGATGGTGTGGAAGAGCTTTGCCAGTGTGCTCATTTCCATGGTCTCAACATCCATTCAGAGGTGAAAAATAGTAGCTCTCCAAAAGATTCACATAGGACCTGTTGAATTTTATACCCCTTACTGATGTAACTGCAGATGCCCCACAGTCTAAACATGCTAAAGCAGGAAACGGGAGAACTGAAGATGTCAGAGGGACCCCAGCTGACAACAGCTTTAGTCAGTGGAGACTGCAATCTCCTTGATTGTGTCTTGTGACTCCCCAGTATCAGGACTGGATGGGGAGCTGAGCATTCAAAGAAAGCCCGCTGGCCGGCCAGCCTCCCAGAGCCTGCTGCCTTGCTCATAGGTCCCTGAATCATCCATCCCAAGCAATCATTCATCGTATTTTCTACCCAGCTCACAATCTCATCCGAGTGCAGCAGTGTGCAAGGCCTTCCATGACGTGGCCCTGTTGCCTTCCAGATTGTCTCTTTGTGTCTGTCACCCCTGCCAACTCTTAGGGTCTTCCCTCTGCTCTTCCATCTATATAAGTCACCTTAACCTCCTCCACCTTGCTAATTTCTATTTACCATTTTAAGGCTACTCTTCAAGACAATTTCAGCATCATTCTCTCTAGGAAGACTATTTTGACTATTGACTTGTCCCACCTTCCTTCAGCATTTTTGGGTGAGACACCCTCCCTTGTGCTTATAAAACACAGTACACCATTCGTGTGTCCATCAGTTCTTAACACACGCTTTATAATCATGTCTGCCCTTGTCTTTCCCCCAAGAAGAGCCTGTGTCTTGTGAGTGTTTATATTGCCAGTGCCTGTCAAGAGAGCAGTAAGTGCTCAGCAAATGTTTGCTGAAGAATTAATGTCACTAGACAAACACTGGAAACAATCCAGATGTCCACCAACAGGTGAATCAATCAGCAAACTGCAGTATTCATATTGTGGAATACCATTTAGGGATACCATTAGCGATCAAAAGAAATGAGACCATTACAACACAAAAATATATATAAAAATGGAAAAATATACATTGAAATGTACTATTAAAACAAAAGTTTATATGTACAGTATATATATTCACAGGAGTTCCTGTGAATATATATACTATATGTTCCCATTTATATGAAATTGATGGACTATTAAAAGTTTATATATACAGTATATATATATAATATATACTTATATATTTTTATATGATATATAAATATATACTGTACATGTAAACTTTTAATAGTCCATCAATTTCATATAAATGGATCATGTGAATTCACGTGAATATATATACTGTACGATCCATTTATATGATCCATTTATAAGAAATTACATAAACAGTGAAAAAACATATGTCGGTATGTTGACAGAATGCAGATGGATGGTTTTCAGGAGCCATGGTTGTGGGAGGGAATTAACCTCAACAACAAAAAGAAATGGCAACTTTTCCCTTGGAGATAAAGGGACAAAGTCAAGAGTATTAATGTGTAGCTACTACTTCTAGCCTTTAACTTTGCCCCTAACTCCCTTTACTCTTACTGGCCAGTCAGTTAACTCTGTTCTGGGCCCTGAGGTCTAGAAAAGGGTTCAAGAATACAGGCCCTGGAATCAAAATACTCACTGGGCCCCGGTTCCACTACCGACCTGCTGTGTAATCTTGGTCAAGCTGACCTCTCTTTGCCTTATTACCTAAACTGTGAAATGGGCTAACAATACCTCACGGAGTTGTGGGGTCTGTAAGAATGAATACGCAGCGTGAACTTAGCCCGGGACCTGGAACGGGGGAAGCTCTCAATAGATGCTGACTATTAGTGGGATGTTGTAATCCAAATCATCTCCCCGTGAAATAAATGCTCACTACTCTCTTCCACTCTCACATGTTCTTCCCCATGGGAACGGACCGTGAAGAATGGCTAGGAGCTCAGCCTCAAGCTCGGATTTCATTCCAACCTTGCTTGATAACGATGGGCCTACCCTGGGAACGGTAGGTGTGGCGGCAGACAGAAGGGACTCGGAGGCTTCTGTGCGTTGTTGGTTCTGCTCTTCCCTTGCGGGGAGCCCTCTCCTGGCTGCCCCCGGGGTGCAGGGCAAAGGGACGCAGAGCTCGTGACTCACCGGATCCTCAACACCAAGCACAGTGCCAGGCTCACGGACCGGGCTCGGTAAACGCTGGACTGTTGTTGAGGAAGTGGCCCGATAGACACAGGACCTTAAGTGCCCTTGGGCTCACTGCACTCACCACTGTGTTCTCACACCACAAAGTCAGGCTGTAGTTTTTCACTTGGCCCCAGGCAGCCTTCATGTTATCTTCTGAAAGGGGCACCAGCTCTTTGCTGTCCGGAGGCCGATAGCTGGGGAGAGACGAGTGAGAACCAAGCCAGAGAACATCAGTACAAAACCATTGCCTTCTCTCCTCCAGGCCAGCACCAGGTCCCCAGGGGTAGCCCCGCGACCTTCATGGACTCACCTCAGCTTAGTGTGTTCTGGCAAGAGCTCCAGTTTCTTAGCCACCATGTCGCGGACCTGGCTATAGGGGAGCCCGGGCTGAGTCTCCATGACCACCGTGTACTTGAAATGCACCTTGAGTGTGTAGGGCATGGGAACGCTGAGCTTTACTTCCTGAGGTGAGAGGAAGCAGAGGGAGCTCATGAGAGTCTGCGACCTCCTCTTAGCCCTATCCTGGATCACGGGGAGTGTTCTGTGCAGCAGGGAGAGGCCAAGAGCTAACCGGTTTCACAGTAACAGAAAGGGGCTTTCAGAGGGCCCATAGCCCCACTCCTGTCTGGATAGGAATTCCTACTGAGCCAGAAGAGGTGGCCCACACGCTCTAGGCCTGTAGGAAATGTGTGCACGGGGGGGGGGGGGGGGCCCTAGCCCGTGGACTGTGTGTATGGTGGTAACTGGTCCACCCTTCCTCTGGACTCCTTCTATAACCCAGGGACACATGCTCATGGTGGAGAGCCTCAGCTTTTCCTTTCTCTACCACTTGAAATAGTACAAGGGGGGCGCCTGTGTGGCTCAGTCGTTAAGCGTCTGGCTTCGGCTCGGGTCATGATCCCAGGGTCCTGGAATCGAGCCCCGCATCGGGCTCCCTGCTCCGCAGGAAGCCTGCTTCTCCCTCTCCCACTCCCCCTGCTTGTGTTCCCTCTCTCCCGTGTCTCTCTCTGTCAAATAAATAAAAATCTTTAAAAAGAAAAAAATAGTACAAGAAAAAAGCTTACCTTGGGCTCTTCTTTTTCTTTTTGACCTAAACGGAGAAGGTAAGAAGCAAAACAAAAGAAGACGGTGAATAAACAGTCCTGGCCAGCCCCTGGCTTCCACAGAATGAAACCTCTTAGAATAGGACACCCAACGTCTTACCTTTAAATCTCTGGGGTGATTCTTAACCTTAATAAACTGTAGGGGAAATCGCACTCAGGGGAAATGTGCCCGGCAAAGCACAAACACACAGACGAACCCAGTGCCTGGCTCAGGGGGAGCATACAGGCAAGTATCAAAGGACCATCACACCCCAGCAGTGCATGGGGTGAGCAGGGACCCCAAAGTCCAGCTAAACCAGTGGGCTCTGAGCAATGAAAACAAGGAGTGCCAGATGAACCAGGGGCCACAAGCAGCAATGTTAGAACCACTTATTTTTCCTTTGTCCTTTATTTTTGTGCATGTTTCCTAATGTGCATAATATATTAATATGACCGTATGCACCTAATTTACATAAGAGAAGTCTGCATAAAGATACTCACTATAGAGGGTGCACAATGGTCACTGATCTCATTCCCAGCTAATCATTAGAATCACTTGGAAGGTTTTTTCTAGAAATACAGATTCTGAGGCCCAATTCCAATCCTGAAGAATCAGAATCAAAGGCCTAGGAATCTATATTCATAAAATTTTCCTAGGTTAATATGTGATCCTTGATGGGCCCCTAGACAGAAAAAGTAAAAACAAAGCTATCAAGGATGTTTTGAGGGGTAATTGGAGAAATGTGAATATGAAATATACACTCTATAATATTATATTAACGTTCAATGTCCTAGATGTAACCACTGTGTTGTGGTTATGCGGGAGAATAGGAGATAATGCTCAAGTGTAGGGCAAAGGGTCATGAATCTGTAACTTCCTTTCAAGTGGCTCAGAGGGGAGGGAGGGGGAGCAGGGCAAGTCCTTGGTACAAAATGTTAACAGTTGGTGAATTGGCATTTATTGTACTACAGTTTCAACTTTCAATCTGTAGGTTTGACAGTTTTCAAAATAAAAATGGAAGTGTGGGGAGCATCCCAAAGGGTTCTGGTGATCTGGGAAGCCTAACAATCATGGATCTAGGATCTGGACAAACCACCTCTTCAATGCATCTCTACTGAGCACTTATCCAGAATCAGCTTAAACTGCATTCGTGACCAAAAACCCCTTACTTCCCAAGGCAACCCTCTCCAGACATCAGGAGAATGTCCTTTGACATCTGCCCTCGGTTCGTGGTCTATCCCTCGGGGCTCTGCAGAGCAGTTTCGTTTCCAGATAGAGCTCCTTGGACATTTGAAAAGAGCCACTCTGTCCCCCTCTGAGGTAAACGTGTGCAATGACTTCAACCTTTCCTCCCGGGACATGGTTTCCGTACCTCATGATGGAGGGGTCTGGTGACTACTTGAGTTGGAACACTCACTGCCCCCCCAGAAACCAGCTACATTTACCCACGCCCCGTGGGTGTTCTGGAGTAGGTAGGGAGAAAGAGCATCTATTTCCTATGTTTTGGGTGGGTGGGTGGTGCAAGAGAGAGGGGCCCTGGGGCTGTGGGCTCATAAGCTGAGCGGCATGCTGGGAGGAGAAGAAACCAGAATCTCCTGGAAAGCTGGGAGAGCAACGCTCTGTGAGGAAGCAGCCGGGAGCTTTCCTGCACCCAGGCCAAGGGTGTTGTTCCAGGGACACCAACCGGGTGGCAACTGGGGCCTTCCAGGAGCACTGGAACTGGGAGGAGCTGGGATATCAGACTCTGGGGAGGCTTCCTCCTGGAGGTGACAGAGATGGTGAGAGCCTTCATTCAGACAAAGTTTTTAAATAAGAGTGGGGGCGGGGGGCGGCCCCATGGAAAGGAGCCAGGGGAAATTGGCTTCCTAAAAGTTGGAGTGGTGGCAACATTCAGGGGAGACTAAGGAAAGTGCTGGTTAAAGGGGAGGTAGGGTTGGCCTGGTGGGAACAAATCACAGTAGAAACAAGAACCCTAAGCCCCACCTAAAAGGCCCTTGCTGCCTAACCACTCCTTTTAGCCACATTGGAAGTCTGCTGGAGCTGAGGGAGGACGCTGAGTCTTGTTGTCTCAGCTCACCCTCTCACTCCACATCCTGCCCCTTCAAAGGAAAAAGTCCACCTCTCATTGGTATGGCATTTAAAACATTTCAAGTCATCTGGGTAGAGCAACTCGGAGCAGGGAGGGCCAAGCCCCCCGAGCACAGCTGGTTGCCCAGGGTCCGGAGAGACAGGTCAGACGCCGCCAGTCCTCTGCACGGCAGCTCGGGTCCAACAAAGACCACCGGCAGAAGGGCCGGCCTCCGAGGAGTGAGGACGGGGCCGCGGCGGGCAAGGCCTACTCTGATTCCAGGCTCTAAAGCGGACTTCTCTTTGTTAATGGCACGTCACCAGCCAACACACTGACTGTTCTTCTAGGTGAAGAGGACATTTCCGGGAAGACCTAACCTTCCTATACTACAGGCTTTGGGTCCCAAGTCACCCCTGACCAGGGGGAATCAGAGAGATGGGGTGGGTGGGCCCAACAGGTCCCTCGGACGCCTCCACTCTGCACATCTGGGGGCTCTCCTTCCTCCCCAGGTTCAGTTTGGCTCTGGGCGGCTGGTGCCAACCCCAGGTGGACTCAGGACTAGTGTCCCTCCCGCACCTTTTCCACACAGCCCTTCCCCCCCTCTACGGAGAGGCCTGTCTGTGGTGGGACAGAGGAGGGAGGGAAGGGGTCAGGCCTCGGCACTATGTTACCTGGGGCTGCTGCTGAGCTTGGATCCGCAGCTCCACCGGCTCAAGGTAGTTGCAGGGAACGAGCCCCTTCTGCGGCACCAGCATCACGGGATCAGAAAGGCAAAGACAGAGTTGTGCTCATCAGGCCCCGGCGGACCCCTGCCACCCAATGGCCCAGGGACGTGGGGGAGGGATGGCCGCACAGACGAAGGCGGGCAGCTGGTCTGCGAATGAGGCGGCAGGTGCTGCTCCTCAGAAAGCTTTGCCATTTGCTGCCAGGATCCCGTGGCCGAAACCCCCACCGCCTGGTCCTCTTAATACCTGCCCGTTGAATAAGACTGTTGCCCAGTTATCGTTGCCCTTCTTCAAGACAAAGACGATGTTCCCTGGCATGACCTGCAGCTCCTCTGGCGTCTCAGGCACAAACCCAAACAGCACACGGTGAGCTTCCCCTTCCAGAGCCCTGCGGGGGATAGACGCAAGAGTCCGACCTCTCTCTGGCCTGGACCACGTCCCGCCCGTGGCACCGTGGGACAAGCGACGGTGGCCCTGGGGCCAGGAGACCTGCTCCGGCACCCTCCAGCTTGGCGTCTAGCTGCCTTGGGGACCTGAGCGACACCAGGCAGGAAGCTGCGCGTGAACATGCTCCATAACCACGCAGGCCGCGGGACAGGAAGGAAAGACAGAAGCACACGAGACACCCAGGTCGTGCCCTCCAGCCCTCACTTCCCCTCTCAGGAGGAAGCTTCCTGGCTCCCTCTCACCCCGGCTCTGTCCCCTTCCCCTCAGCCCTGCTCTCTGTTTCCAAACAACGGGCTATTTGCGTGGGGGAGACAGACTCCTCCAGCAAGCAGAGTTAGCAATGAGCTCATCAGCCCCCTCATTTTTATAGTTGCTGTGGTGCTTTTTTCATTTTTTTAAAAAAACCTTCTGTATTGGGTGGGGGATCTGGGCTTGCTTCCTTGCTTAGAAGAAATTCTTAAGAAAGCTGCATGTTGTGTCATTCCTGGCTTCCCATCTTCTATAAGAATGGCTTCCTTTGCTTGTTCCTCTCACTTCTCCAGAGACCATGTGTCCAGAGGGAGTGAAAAATGCCCCCTCGGGAAAGGACACACCGTCTAGCTTCCCACTTTGCTCACCCGGCTCCAGAAAGCTCTGGCCTCCCCCTCTTCTGAAGAGGCTACAGTCAGGGCGAAACTGTGCTCCAGCCTCTGGTCAGAGGGGCGATGTTCCACAGACAGCGCTGCCCTTCAGAGGTGACCACCATGTGTGGGTGGCTGTGCACGGGGACCTGGGGACCCCGGTGATCAATCCTCCCATAGTCAAGACTCCCATCCCCCCTCCATCACTCCACTCTAACCTTGAAAACAGGGAGAGCCCACCCACGAGGCTACATTCCCCTAGACTCAGCCCCTGACCCCAGCTTCATCTTCTTCACCCCCATTATTGCCATAGTTCAGGCTTGGAGTTCGGATATTCTGCATCCTGCCCTAAATCGAACTTACCTGAAGATCTCCGGGGTCTTGGGTCTGGGTGGAGGTTCAGCGGCCTATTGAACATTCGGGAGGAATGAAGGGAAGGAGTGGGGGAGAGAACAGAATGTTAATGGTAATGTGAGCTTCTCCCAGACCCAAAAATCAAAGGATGCCTGTCAAGCGCCATGGGAACATTGTCGTCGTCAAGGGAGAGGGCACCTCGCACCCTGACTACCTGCTGGAAAATAACCCCTCCCACCAGCTCCCCGGGGCCAGGTGTCACTGGCACAGCAATTCATCTTGAGCCAGTCCTGGTGTCTGGAGAATTTTCGCTGTCACAGAGCCACATGGCATCACGAGGGTGCTTTTGACCTGGAGCGCTGTCCCTTTCCTAGGACAGTTTCCAAAAGCTCTGTTCTATAATTAATGTCTGCTGTATCACGTGACACTTGTGGGTATTTAAAACCCACTCAACGTCCCCTGACCAGGCAGAAATCTCCTTTCAGTGTGTTCCCTGCTCTACACGGAATGTCATGGAGTCCACTGATCTGGGCTGCTTCCGCCTTTTGGAGTCTCCGGCTGCTCTGAGGCCCCGAGGGGGGTGGGGGGGTCCTCCCCAAGGGTTTTCTTCAGCTTCATCGTGAAGACACAAAGCAAAGGATCCTGAATCTCTCGATCCTCCTTGACTCCCCTCACCCTCCAGAGCCCGCCGTCGGTCCCATTCTGGGCTAGCGGCCGTCACTGCCCCTAGGGGGCTGTGGGCGCTGCTCTGGGCAGCCTGGAGGGGGTGCCACGCTCACAAGCCCCTCACCAGCACGGCCAGCGCATGCGCAACGGCGCTCGGATTTTCCTCAGCCTGGCTTACCTTCTTCCCCTCACAAGGAGGGAAATGGCTTCACGTTTCTAGACCTACTGTCACCCAGTCTGCCTGGAAGCGTCTCTCTGAGCCCAGGCCGGGCAGAGCAACGGCTCACTGGGGGCACCCATCGTGTTCCCGAGGGGATCCCCTGCACGTGGGCAGGCCCCACGGAGGCCTCATCCAAACGCCTTCCATAGCTTGTGTTCCAGGTTCCTGAGAGACTAGGCCAGGCTTCAGGAGAGACCGTCCGTCAACAGAAGCAGAGGAATGAAGACTGGCATTTTGGGGGAAGCAGGAGGGTTGGTTTCTGGGAACTGGAGGTTAAGCCTGAAACTGCGTTTTTCTCCCAACAGTCGTGGAACCTTTGACCCAGAATGGCCAGGCAGACACCGTCAGCAGCCCCGAGAGGTCAGCTGAAGGAGCCCTTAAAATGAGGCAGCTCGGCACAAATACTCTCCCCAGCTGGATGATTCCAGAGAGCTCTGGAGACCTGGCTCCGGGGAGGAGGCCAGGACTGCCTCACCTGTGGCTGCAGAGGGGCAAACCCCGAGAAACTGTCCTGATCCACCACAGATGCCACCACCTGAAAGGGAGGAGGGAGCGTGTGAGGGCTCTGCCGGCCCTCCTTCCCCATGCTTCCTGGCCTTCCCCACGATCCCCCCCTTCCTCGCACCCTGGATCCATTCTGACAGGAGCGTGTCCCAGAGGTGGACAGCGGCTGAAGGATGGATGCTGAGCCTCCGGGTTAGAAGTTCCAGGAACTCAAGAAACCAGTACCTGCCCAGCCCTGCTGCTAACCTGGCAGGCTCTCTCTCTTTTTGTCCCTTTTTTTTTTTTCAGAGAGGAAGACAGATGGGGGTAGGGGCAGAGGGAGAGAGAGAGAGAGAATCCTAAGCAGGCTCCACCTCCATGCCCAGTGCAGAGCCCGACACGGGGCTCGATCTCACACCCCTGAGATCGGGACCCGAGCTGAAATCAAGAGTCAGACGTTTAACGGTCCGAGCCACCAAGGCGCCCCCGTACTTTATTGCTTTTTGTGGTCATGTCACTGTATGGCTACATCACGTGTTTATCCACTCATCCGCTGATGGGCTTTGGGGTGTTTCCCAGGGGAAAACCCCAGCCTGCCCACAGCTCTTGAACTCTGCTGTTCTGCCAGCCACCCAGTCAGTGGGCAGCGTTAGCCCTACGGATGTGTCAAAGTCAAGGGCAGTTTTGGAAAGGGGCTGCGGGCTCATGCTGGATCATCCCCGAGAGGACTTAAGACCTGGATTTAAAGGAGTCCAGTTTACAAAGGAGTCTAATCAGAGGGCTGTGGCAGTGGGGCTAGAAAGAGCAGCAGGCCAGGAGAATGCTGTGCCCGTCCGTTTCTCTAACATGTTTTCTCCCCATTTACTGAGTGCCCCGTAGCTGTGCTTTCTCCCCACTGGCTCAGCATCCGCGACTAACCCCGTGGCTCTCACCCAGGGTCAGGCAGGAAGGGAGGAGCGAGAGGAGCCAGAGACAAGAAGCTAGGAGCGTTTGCCCACCCCTCAGCAAGGGCTCCTCGGTGCCAACAGTCCCAGGCTGCCATCCCAGGGCAGCACCGCAAGGGGGGGGCGGTGGTCCTGTCCCAGGAGTTGGTCCCCACCCTGGTCCACACAGGGCCCACACCATAGGAGCCTCCGGGGAAGCTGAAGGAGCTACTTACTGTCGCCTTGCCCAGGTAATCCTTCTTGGCCAGCTGAGCCACTTGCCTCTCGTTTGGCCGAAACAGCCTGCCCACAGGGATCACCACTGGCTCATACAGCTTCTGTTTCTGTAACACAGAGGGCACGGCGTTTTCTTATCTGCAAAACAGGGGTCATGATGCGCGTCCCACCTCCCTCTCTGAATGGATGCAAAGGTTCACTGAGATGACCTCACAAAAGCAGGTTTCTACATGTGCAAAGACTGCACTTGTGATTATTTCCGAGGGTCTAAGGTGGGAACACTTGGTTTCAATATCGCCTTACTCTGGGGCTGTGTGGACATCTGTCCCTGTTATTCCCTAGGGGGCTGCCCCTCCCCCTCTCCACGTGGCTCGGGCGGGGCAGGCACTCAGCACAGGTTACACCATGACCACGAGGTGGCCGGGGTCCAAGCAAGGCCCGTGATGGTGCCACCCTGGGGCTGGCGGCGAGGACTCTGAGGTGGGCAAGCAGGCACAGCCTCTGCCCCCTCCCCCGCCACCCGTGCTGGGATCCAGCCTCCGGTCCCCTGCTCCCCGCACCACCCCCAGCGCCACCGCAGAGGCCCCCGGACTCAGCACTGTCAGACTCAAGATCCGAACATGGAACTATACCCCAGGATCGGTGTTACCCAGAGCTCGGAGAAAGTACAAGCACCACGTCCACCGTTTCTCAATCCACCGAAACAAAGAGAACTCCAGTGGGGACCCTCTGGCCGCCCCACGTCATCAGTGCACTTACCCAAACACATTCCATGGCTTTGTCAATTTTAGTATGTCTCGGCTCAGACTTCATGCTCATAGCCAAAGCTAAGTGTTCTTCTGCCTGTTTCCACTCCTCCTTCTTGGCATACATGAAAGCAACATTATATAACACCTAGAAAAGCACAGGCCACAACACAAACCTTGAGGCTGCTCCAGATCTAGGCACCAGGGAAGAGCTCACCTGTCTGCTCCTGGAACGTTGCCCGCTGACATCCCTCCCTTCCTCAGCTTTCCCGGGAAGATCTCAAATTTAACACCATCAATCGCGCTACCAAGTTATGCCCAGCACACAGACGGTGTTAGGAAAACATCACATGACGCAGAAATCCAGCATCGTGTGCGTTATTCTTTCAACAACCCAATAGGTCAGGAGGGGACCAAAACTCTTGTGTTGGCTGCCACTGAGCCTCGGCTGAAAGACCGGACAGGTGCAGGGTGGGGGGAGAGAAGGTTCCATATGCCTCAGCCTGCACCAGCAGCCGCAGCAGAACCCTGCCTGGAGTATGGTTACAGGTAACGAGACTGTGGTAACAGGAGGAAACTCTGCGGGCCGAGGTGCAGTGAAGCTAGGAAGGGACTCGGCACAAACCCAGGCCAGCGCTTCCCCGGGGACAAGCGAGAACAGCCCATTCGTCAAGAATCACGATTTCCCAGGTCTCGAGTTGGGTGGTAGGTTCATGAGCGTCTGCTTTATCATTATGCCTTACAACGTATTCAGAGAATCAAATAATCTTTTGGATGCGTCGGCAAGATAAAAAAAACACACACACACAAGAAAACGACTTGACTAAGTGAAGTAAAAAGATTCTCAAGCAGAGATGGGAAGGCAATGGCGAGCGGAAGAAGATCAGGATGACAGCTAACGAAAAGGGTTTACTTTCCTTCTTTCTCACGACAGTGCAGGGGCCCCAGCACCCTGTGCGGAGGATGAGCTGAACAGCCAGGAGCTGCTACAAGCTTTTCTCAGATGTAAGTTATAGGACTCACAGCCTGATACCCTGGGCGCGTGGGGCTGCTTCTCCAGAACCTCAGAGAAGAGATACAGTTGGTCAGCTGAGGCCTAGTAGGGAAGGGGGTTGTTGGCCTTCTCTCCCCAGTGGAGGCTGTGCAGTGCAGGGGTGAAGGGCACGGGGACCCCTAATAGGTGACCTCAGCTTCACTGTAAAATGGTGGCAGGAACCGTTGCCTGCTTCCAGATTGTTCCAAGAAATAAATGAGATAATTCATATCAAGCACCAAGTTGGGGTTTGCTTGGCACAGGGTGGGTATTCAACACGTATTTACTACTACCACGACTGCTACTTGCCGTACTGTGTTGGGGCTTGCTGGGCGGCTGAGCAAAGAAGGGCTTTCATCCCCCAAGGGCCGCCTGCATGGTTTCAGGGCAGACTTTTGCAGAAGAAAGCCATCTGGGGACGCTTTGTGTTTATAATCTAAAGGCTAAAACTATGAAGGACGGTGTGCTCCTGGAAATCGGTGCTGCCTGTTGGAGGGGGTGTCACTGTCGTTCTCGTTGTCTTCCTCATCCTCGTCCTCACCGAGGCCGCCCACTGACCACCTATTATGGGCCACTTTATCTGCATGATCTCTAACCCCCACCCCCACCAGGTGAGCTGAGGCCTCACTTCTGTGCTTCCATGGTGTTTCCATTGCAATTCTCTTGTCCTGACCTCGCCACCTCACATTACCCGTGACCGTGAGCTTCTGGGTGCTGACACCTTGTGGACCCCTGGACCTCTGCTGCCTGACATCATAAAATTCACGGAGTTATTAAAGAGTGTGTGTGAGGTAAGTCCTCAGCCCTTCTTTACAGATGATGAGGAGTCTGAGGCCCAGAAATGACATATAACTCACCTAGGATCACACAACTGCTAAGTGTTTGGCTGGGATTTGATCCCTGTCTGCCTGATTCTAAAGTCTCTGCTGTTGTGGCAGCCAGCTTCCAAGATGGCCCCCAGTGATTCTCACTTCTTGGCCCTCACCCCCCTATTCCCTCCCACATCCAATGGAGCTGACATGGATAGCCAATAGGATGTTATGGAAATGAGGGGCCGTGGCATTTGAGGCTAAGTTATAAAACACCTTGGTCGTCCATATTACTTTTTTTTGGATCATTATATTCTCTGGGGAAGCCCGCTGCCATGTCCTGACAAGACTCAGACAGTATTATGGAGACCTTCATGTGGCAAAGAATGGAGCCCTCCGGCCAACAAGTAACACTACCTTGCCAGACCCATAAATCATCTTAGAAGTAGACCCCCCAGCCCCAGTCAAGCTTTCAGATGATGGCAGCCCTGGCCGACATCTTGAGTGCAAGCCCTTGAGAGCCTGTGAGCCAGAACCCCCCAGCTAAGCCACTTTTGGATTCCTGACCCCAGAATATGTGAGATAATAAATGGTATTATTTTAAGCCACTGCATTTTAGAGTAATTTGGTATTTGACAATGGATAACCGATACACTTCTCCTCTATTACAATAGTCTGCCACCTACATCCGCAATTTGGCTCCGGGCCCCAGCCAGATAAAAAGAACAGTTTATCAAGGCAAGTACAGACGTGTGGCAGGACTGTGTTTCCATGGAGTGAGTTAGTGGCTGGTGCTGGGTGATGGCATGGGAGCAAGCCCAGAAGCAGAGGTCTAGATTCCCTTCCCAGGCTGTTTCTGAGCCTTTTGCGTGCATGCTTGGTCGGCCCAGCCCAGCCCTGGCCACGTGTGCAGGAAGGAAGGAGAACTCAGGTCCTTAAACATTCTTATTGGGTTCTCTGCTCCCTTCTCTTGAGACCTTTCCCCACAACAGGCTTTTGTGACTCCAAGACTGGAAAAGCCTAAGACTCTTCAAAAAGGACGGTGTGATTTCTCAGAGGCCAGGGTTGTACCCTGGTGGGAAGGAGGGGTGGCGTTATATGTAGGAAAATGACTGAGAGTCTCACGGGGAGTAAGGGCCTTAGACCGTGAAAACCCCAGCTTCACCTGCAGAGAGGCCCAGAAAGCCAGTATTTCCTGTCCCCGGGTCAGTTCAACTCCAACCATAGGGGAAATTTCTCCCATGGGATTCTGCTTGGATGCCAATGTTTTATGATCCTTTTTCTAGAGCTACTTGGTCCCCACAACCCTTTAGTCTGTGTAAGTGGTTCTCACTGCGGGGGTGGGGGTGACTGGCAATGTCTGGAAATATTATAGGTTGTCATGTGGCTGGGGGGGTGCTACAGGCATCTGGGGTGCATAGAACAGTCCCCTACACCAACAAGTTATCTGGCCCAGCATGCCAGTAGCGGTACGGTCGAGAAACCTCTCTCTAGAAGCTGGCCAAATGTCAACCAGTCCCCTGAAATTCCCAGAGCCTCATTTCCCGGACAGTGGGAAGTGAAGCAAGTTGCTAGCCTGCTGCAGGGTGGATGGGGGCCCTTGTCCCCAGGGGCCTGGGCAGCGGTGGACTCTATTATTAGCCCTGAGCAACCCTGGGAACGCTTGGCTGTCTCCTGCCTGAGAAACTAAAGCAAGGGGACCTTTTTATCAGCAATTCTTCTAAATAAAGATCCATGATATTTGCAGGGCTTTTCATTTTTCAAGCTAGTGGTGTATATTTGGAGTTTAGGAGGGGGGATGGGGAGTGTTGGTTGGAAAAAGCCCACAGGCCTGTGAAGTCAGCGCCGGTCATGTTTCTCCCTTTTGGTAATAGAGAAAGTCAGTTATCCTTCTATGGAAACCTTCCCTAAATGTGTGCTTTGAGCTGTTCTTTGAGCTAGGGAGGACAGATTGGTGCCAAATTATCCTCACTCTTTCTTTGGGTATCAACCAAGCACACGAAGCCATGAATAACAAAGAGCGTGGTCTGTAACTCAGGAACTGAGCAGGGTTACTGCGGGTCTGGCATGGATGGTGAACCCATGATTTTGGATTTGTTAGTATAATGCTGAGCAAAGAGCTTGTCAACTGGAATTATGCAAATCATTATGAATACTTTCACAGGCCAGCACAGTCGGGTCTAGCCTCCCTTCAGAGGGCCCAGCAGGTTCATTTCCAAGCGGCCCTTTGAGCCCTACATTAATAAAATGCAGGCCCCAGGAACTGGAGACTCTGGAATGAGCCTGTAGTTATTGATCTGAGTCTTTTCTTAAGGGGAACTCTGAGTCCTGAGGCACAGGAGCCTTTTCCAAGCTCCCAGAGGTGTCAGCAGATCGCTGTGCATCCGAACGGTCAGCTGTCCCCTCAGCCTCTGCGCGCTCCCGCCCGGGGCTGGGCCCTTCCTCCTTACCTCACAGGCAAACAGCTTGAACTGTAGCCCCAGGATCTTGTAGTCTATCAGCTGGTTCCCTCGAAGCTGAGTCAAGGCCTCTTTAAGGTCTTTAATAGCTGCATCATATCTGCAGGACAGAGGGCGATGAGACCACAGGCCAGGGCAGAGAGGCGCAAACGTGGGATAGAATGTGCTTCCCTTCCCCGACCTGTCTTACTGAGACAAGAAGCCTTCTGATCCCTTTTGGCCTGCTCTGGCTCTTTGCCAAGGCTGAGCCCCAGTACTCTATTGTACTCCGTGTGAGCGGCACCCTGGGCGGGGGGCGTGTATCCCAGCACCCCTGGGGTTCCCCCCCAGACTCAGGCCATCATGGGTACTTTCTGTGGACAGCATCCAACTCCTACCTTTCTGACTTCACTTCCCAGTAGAGCCCTCGTCCTCTCCTGAGAGCTCCCAGCAGAGCCAGCGCCTGCCGCCCCCAAGCCCCTGGGGAGCGATTTGGAGCACTGCTCACTCCTTGCTCCCCACCGTCAGGCCAGGCTAGCCTGACCCAGCTCCGGGGAACCCTTCCAGAGCCGAGGACGGCACCCTCCTTCCCGGAGCTTTCTCTTTCGGCTTCTTCTTTTTCTTCTTCTTCTTTTTTTTTTA